TTTGTGATGTGTCTCATGTTTCTACACAGACATCCAAGGCCAGAAATATAAACATTATGAATCTTCGTAGGGTAAGTTAAACATTACAATACAAAATTCAGTTAAACCTTACAATTCTGAACTCTTATAGCTTCTGTTTTTCATGGCTTTGCAGAGACAACACAGAACAGTGGTCAATAACTTGGATTCTAGAGAAAGTCAAATTGAGTTCAAATCATGGTGTATCCACCTACTAACTGAGTGACTTTTGGAAAGTCATTTAAACTCTATATACTTTTGCTTTATTATAGGTAGAACAGAGATATTGATAGTAATTACTTTATAGGGTTGCTGTGATGGTTCAATTGATTTCTTATATATAAAATTCTTTATAGTAATCACATTTATTAAAATAATATTAATATAGAGTTCATATTATTTTAATATTAAATATTGATATTAATAATTGTGTTAATAAATTAAACAGTTATGATTATATTTGAAACTGAGAACATTTATTTTAATTTAGTTTAGCTAAGTACTCAAATATTCCATTAACATTCTATGTGTATATAACAGAAGTAGTACATATCCTCACTTAGTAGCTCTGATAGTCATGGTGCCAAAATTTCTCTACTAATATTCACCTTTCCAGACATTTTAATATTCTCTCTCCCATTGCTGACACTCCCCATTCTCTTTCTGTTTTTTATCTGAAGATATTTGTGTTCATATACAAATACAGTAAGGTCATCCCATCTTGAATGAAATGCCAAATTATTGTAGACAATATCCAAGAGCTTCTTAGAGAATAAAATTTCCTGAAGTTTGGAAATATGAAAACATCTGGAAAGAAAACTTCAAGAAAGTGAATAAACTGATAGAAAGATATATGGGAATAATATGTTAAAAGAATAGTTTACTGATGAAAAATATTATCTGAATCTATGATGTTGGTTAAATAATAAATTAGAAAACTTCTCTGGACCATACCTGGCTCTACTGTGGGTTTGATGAGTATACAACTGAGGAGCTGACCAATTTACAGTCCTTGGCTTCCATCTAGGCACCATCCTCTTTCACCCCACTACTGAGGGAAAGTCATGGCCTGCTGTCTTCACTCAGTGAAATGCGGGTATTCTATGAATCCTAAGCTAGAAAACCCAGTTAGCTTACTCCACTTCATTTCCATTCACCCACCACTTTAATTGAAATTCTAGTCTCTAATTCTAGTAAAGGACCCAAAGACACAGTTTATGTGTTTTGATTTTTATTTAAGTACAAAAGGTTAAATATGTGTGCAATACTGGTAAAGGTGCTTCTAGAAGTTGGTAAAGAAGGGCAGGACTGCCTGTAATTCCCTGAAGAAGGAAAAAACAAAAACAAAACAAAAAATACAGAAGGTTAGGACAGTAATTCCCAGAAGCCTTCAATCCACTCTTACCATCTTTCCTCTTTCATCCTCTTCCATGTGCTTTTGCCACTTCCTTTGACTTCTGTGACCGTTACAGTATATTCACCAAAAGCACACAGAGTAGTCTTTGTAAAATTGAGGTAGTTCTCATTTCTCTGTTCACAAGCACTCAAAGGGTTTCCTATCTCACTCAGGATTAAAACTTTAGAACGTTTACTATGTGATCACCAAAGCCCATGTGACCAGACTCTTTACCATTTTCTGAATTTGTCTCTGCCATTTCCCCCAGCCCACTGCCTTTTGGCAGTTCTTTAAAGATGTTAAGCACATTTCTGCCTCAGGACATTTGTGCTTGCTGGTCCCAGGGGTGCTGGAACATTGTTCTGCAGAGAATCACAAGGTTCACTACCCGACTCTGCCCACTCTCTGTTCTGACTTATTTTATCACTTCAAAGGAGCCTTTCTTAAATAATCTATCTATTATAGTACAACACCAATCTCTTTCATCTTTTTAACCTCCTTTATTTTTCTTCTCAGCTCTTATCACTCTGACATATATTTACTTGTCTGTGTATTTATAGTCTGTCTCCACTGACTAGACTATGAGCTTTCTGAAGCAAAAGCTTTCCGTTTATTTTGTTTACTGGTATATTCCAACATTCTAGAACAGAACATGGAAAATAGTAAGTGCTTGATAAATATTAGTCAAATAGCTCAACCCCTAATTTGGTTATCTTATACTAATTAGGCAATGAGAGCTACTCTAATGAACTATCTATGCAATTATCCACCAGGGAATCACAAACCAGGAGTACAAGATGGTGGGTAAAGATTTAAAGTAGTGAGATAAACTTGACTATGAAATATAATTTAAATTATGCTGTTTAAAGAAAGATTAACAATACACTTACAATACAATGTGATATTAAGCTGTTATGAGTGAGTAAAGTAATAGCTGGATCTAAATTCATTGGACCCATTCTAAAATATATTTACCAAAAACAATAAATGTATGTTAACATCGGTGCTTGAAAGGGTTTCAGAGCAGTACTTAAGGATATGAGTGCAGACTCTGCAATCTACATTTAGAGAACAGTCAGAGAGCCAGAATGTGCATCAACACAAGAATTACAGTCCAGGGTATATTTTATGCTGTCTTGGTAACAGGAGCTCAAGGTCAGTAATGTGATATCTGCACTTAAAGGACCAATATCCTGCTTCCTTCACAGTCATCTCCTCTGTTTTCTGTTTTGTTTTGTTTTTGTTGTTGTGTGTTTTTTTGCTTTTCAAGACCTGAGGCAACGTTTGTGTTTGTGTGTGTGTGTGTGTCTGTGTGTGTGTGTGTGTGTGTGTGTGTGTGTACTGAGAGAGAGGGAGAGAGAGATAGTAATAATGGAAGCATGAGTACATTTCTGCTTCATTGATGACTACCCTGTGTCCTTGATTGTTTATTACTTCCTGTCTCAGTTTGGCTTATCTCCTTGATTGGTTAACTGATTAATTGATTATCAAGATGAGGAGGATCCAGATTCATATAAGTAGAGAAAAAAATAACATCTAGTCACTAAACTACATACATAGGCAACATTAATTTGACTACCCAAGCAATTGGCTGTCATTAGCCCATGAACCTCATCACCAATATCACTTTCCCATTTGTTATACCTGTCAACAGCTTTGATTTTCAATTGCCAGGAAAGAGGTAGAAATATCTTGACATGGATAGTCGTTCAATGGTGGGCATCTGGACTCTAACTTCTGGCTTTTCGAATGATAGTTGTACCTGAAAAAAAGAGGTTCTAGAATAAACTAACTCTTATCCACTCTCAGAAAACATTTTGCACCATGAGCCAAAAAATACTGGGAATGACGGGACCAAACCAATGAATATTCTAACTCCCTGTCACTGTTACCCTACTGTTTAGAAGTAACGCCACATGTCAGAATATACTCTTTATCTCAAAATAAACACTTCAAGCCTAACCCAAGGCCTTTCAAAGTTCACTCTTCTATTTTGAGTTTCAGATCTGCAGATCTTAACTGATCTCCTAGAGTCAATTCATGAGAACTGGCTCTCAAAAATGCTCTACCTTCAACCTCCAAGGTTAATCCTGAATTCAATAAGACACAAACTCAAATATTGTTCCTAAAACTTGAACACAACAACTTTCACATTCTGACCAACAAGCTGACCTCTGAAGTTTTTTGTCATGGACTGATAAATAAGATTCTATTGACACCATTGCAATTAGGTAGTTATTAATAATAGAACAGGAGCAAGGGGAAAGGCAAGACACTTCAGGCTTGTGATTTGGGCAGCTTCATCAGGAAGCTGCAATTCACTGGCCCATCCCTGCAGACCACAGGGGAAGGGACTCAATCAATGGGAGATGAGTGCATGCACAAGGAGTTGGGGTTACAAGGGAAAGCGCCTGTCAGTCAAGCCTGGGGAACAATGGATTTGGCTAGACTAGGCAGGGCCATTGCAAGCCTGCACCAATTTGGCAATGCATAAACCAGCAGATAAGAAGCTCACTCTCTTCTGTGGCTTTCTTGGCTCTCATGCTCCTCTGGCTTTGTTCCTGCCCCTGTTGTCTCCATAGCTGCATGGCCCACAGCCACATGGACCTCACACGCAATGGACTCTAACTGGAAACACAAATTCAGCCAGCTTGATGCTCCATTTGAGACATGGAACGGAAACTCTGCACACTGGCTTTGATTTCAGATCTGCTGAAAACAAACTGGCACTTTTTTCTTGGCAGGACAAAGAGAAATGGGACCTTGGGAACTTGGGGGTATAATTGCACAGAAATGAAGCTTTTTATAATATATCACCTGCCCATGTGAGCCTCAGAAACTTCTCAGGATATTGCAACACACCCACTCCCACCAGCAAGTGGTGGGAATGAGGACCTCTCCCCACTGATCACACTATTTCTAGACTTCTCCTAGCAATGCTCTAAAGTGCAATGTCTAATTCCTATTCATCTAACAGGACTTAATTTCCAAAGTTCCCATTCACGGAGACCTCAATGCATGTTACAATGCAATCCTCTCCTGCTTACTAAAGCTGTGTTCTTCTTTGCCCACGGAGTGCTACTGTTCTCCACAGTTTTCTATTTAAAAACAACCAAATAGCCCTAGTTGGTTTGGCTCAGTGGATAGAGCATTGGCTCCAAGTGGACTAAAGGATCCTGGATTCAATTTCACTCAAGGCTGATCCCCAGTGGGGGGCATGCAGGAAGCAAGCCAATCAATGATTCTCTCTCATCATTGATGTTTCTCTCTCTCTCTCCCCTCTCCTTTTCTCTTTCAAATCAATAAAATATATTTTAAAAAATAATAACAAATAAAAATGCCCCATATTCTTAATAAAGTAAAGGGAGAAAGGTATTGATATTCATGCATTGATTTATTGAATGAATATTAATTCCCATGTGCCAGCATGTTGAGGTGTTGAGCACATTTCTACCTTCATGAAGCTTGCATTCAATTGAGTAAGTACAGGTAAAAACAAACAGAATATATGCCGAATGAGTGGTGGTCACAACCCTGGATGAAAACATATTAGGAGGGAGGGGAGAATGAGGAATTTCTTGAGGTGGGAAAGGAATTTGGTCTTCTTTTCTGGACCACTCTATTCAAAGAATACCTTCTCCCTTTTTTTCTTTCAAGTGCCCTAGATCTTTTGTGTCATGAAGCCTATTGCAATCTGTAATGACATATGTGTTTGCTGGCCTACTTGTTTCGTATCCATCTCTCTCACAAAAAGGTCCTGAGTAGCCTTACAACACAATATCTCATTTACACCGGTGTCACAGGATAGCAATAATTACCAAGTAAGATAACACCCAATAGATATTTATTCAATAAAGCCATACAAATCAACTCAAAATACTTTCTACTCTTTGACTTAATATAAATGTATACCCTATAACAAATAAGCTTACAGGTTATATTATTTTGTTCTATTTTGATCTTGTGCAATTTTGTGTTGACATCATCTCCTTTAAATCAGATGTCAACCCCTGGATAATGGAAACCAGGCACTGCTCTACATTTGTTTGCCTGATGAAGCCTGTAATGGTCATTTGAAATAAGAATAATGGTGAAGTCTTCCAGCACATGCTCACACACACACACACACACACACACACACACACACACAGGATTAGAAAAGGAAGAAGAAAAAGCTTACCTTCCGAAATACTTCCTCGAGGTGACAGCACCAAGAATACTTCTGGAAGCATCCAATTAGTTGTGTGATGAAGAGAGAACCTTTAGTAGTGTCTCTCCAGGATACATTATCTGTAAAGATAAGGAGTGTCAAGCCTTGAGCTGTTCCCTTGAATGTTTTCTTTTCTCACACGTGTTTTTTTTTTTAAGTAGTTTTTGAGTTTTTTAAGCGTAGCTTTGGAATTATCTTGACGTGTTTAGGGGAAACACTTATATCTCTACATTATCTAATTTTCCAAAAAGAGGAGGAAAAAATTTAAAAAAAAACCTGGCAGAGATTTAACTAAGGGAATAACTCACTAGAATTTCATAATGATTGCATTATATTCTTGGAACTGACTCTTAACTATGTGCTTCATGTTCACTCACTTGGTTTTGAAACATGGCCTGAGAGATAACTGAAATTACCCCATTTTACAGAGGAAAGAATGGACACTCAGAGGATTAAAAAATGTCCCCATGCTTATACAGTACACAACACAAAATGGCTCCCTGGCTTCCAGGAGGCTTACAGAGTGTATAGCATACTGTCTTTCACAATATTATAAGCGAAGTGGGTGAACAAATCCAAAGGAGATTGTGGTCATGGTTTCAATGGTGTATATTATATCCAAACTCACTATGTTACATACATTAAGTATACACAGCATTTTGTAAGTCAATCAAACCTCCATGAGCCCTGACTGGTGTTACTCAGTTATGACATGGTCTGCACACTGGAGGGTCTCTGGTTCCATTCCTGGTCAAGGGCACATACATGGGTTTCAGGTCAGATCCCTGTCCCCTGGTCAGGGGGCATGTGGGAGGAAACCAATTGATGTGTCTCTGTCACATGAATGCTTCTCTCTCTCTCCTTTTTCTTCCCTTCCCCCCCTCCTTTCCACTGTCTCTAAAATTAATGGAAAAGTCCGGAGCACCGGCTCAGCCGTGGAGACTGTGCCATCTTGAATGGCTGTTATTGGAAGCCTATACATCCAAAGACCCGGCACTCAGAGAGCGGTTGCTAACCCGAAAACTCTGGATCTGGGACAGTGCAGCTGCATGGATCCCTGCTTCTTCTCACGGAAAGTAGAGAGAGAACTACATAACCAAACACCTGGAGAAGAGAGATCATGGGGAGACCAAGAACCAACCCGCATATGAAAGAAAAACAGGCACCACCAGAAAAGGAAGTAAACGAAATGGAGGTAACGGAGGCAAGCAACCTGTCAGAGAAAGGATTCAGAGAAATGGTCATAAGGTGGATGAAAAGAATGGAAGACAAATTCAACAATATGTGTAAGAACCAAGAGGAAATGAAGAAAACCAAGAAGAAATGAAAAATGACATCACTGCTATAAAGAACACAATAGAAAGCATCAACAGTAAACTAGAAGAAGCAGAGGACCGCATCAGTGAGCTAGAAAACAAGGTAGGAAAAAATACCCAAGCAGAGCAGCTTCTAGAAAAAAAAAATTAAAAAGCAGGAGGAGAGCCTAAGAGAACTCTTGGACAACACGAAATGAAAAGACATCCGCATAATAGGGGTGCCAGAAGGAGAGGAAGCTGAGCAAGGAATAGAAAACCTATTTGAAAACATAATGACAGAAAACTTCCCTGATATAGGGAAGAAAAAACTCACACAAATCCAAGAAGCTCACAGAGTCCCAAACAAAATGAACCCCAAAAGACCAACGCCAAGGCACATTATAATTAAATTGGCAAACACCAACGACAAAACAAGAATCTTAAAAGCAGCCAGAGAGAGACAGAAAGTCACCTACAAAGGAGCCCCCATCAGACTAGCGACTGATTTCTCAATAGAAACACATCAGGCAAGAAGGGAATGGAATGAAATATATAAAGTCATGCAAAGGAAGGGTCTGAATCCAAGAATACTGTACCCAGCAAGTCTATCAATCAAAATTGAGGGTGAAATCAGGTGCTTCACAGACAAAAAAGGACTTCGGGAGTTTATTACCACCAAACCAGCAATGCAAGAAATGCTAAAGGGTCTGCTCTAAAAAGAAAAAAATAGGAAACAAAGAAGGAACACAGGGGTAAAGAATAAAAATGGCGACTAACAAGTGTCTATCAATAATAACTTTAAATGTAAATGGATTAAATGCCCCAATCAAAAGACATAGGGTAACTGAGTGGATAAGAAAACATGACCCATATATCTGCTGTCTACAGGAAACCCACCTCAGAAAAAAAGACACACACAGACTGATGGTGAAGGGATGGAAAAAGGTTTTTCAGGCGAATGGAAATGAAAAAAAAGCCGGGGTAGTAATACTTATATCTGACAAATTAGATTCTCAAATTGAAGGACATAAAAAGAGATAAAGAAGGCCATTTCATAATACTAAACGGAGCAATCCAACAAGAAGAAATAAATCTGGTAAAAATATACGCACCCAATATAGGAGCACCCAAATACATAAGAAATCTTCTGGAGGAGATCAAGGGAGAGATTGACAGCAATACAATCATAGTAGGGGACTTTAACACCCCATTATTACCATTGGACAAATCCTCTAAACAAAAAATCAGCTAAGAAGCATCAATCCTAAATGACTCACTAGATCAGATGGAATTAATTGACCTCTTCAGAACATTTCACCCCAAAGCCACAGAATATATATTCTTCTCAAGTGCACATGGGTCATTTTCAAAGATAGACCATATATTGGGTCACAGAAAAAGTCTCTTCAAATTCAAGAAAATTGAAATCATATCAAGCATCTTCTCAGATCACAATGGCATAAACCTGGAAATCAACTACAATAAAAAGAATCCAAAAAAATCAAACACATGGAGACTAAATAGCATGCTATTAAACAATGACTGGGTTACCAAAGAGATCAAAGAAGAAATAAAAAACATCATGGTAACAAACGACAATGAAAACACAACAATCCAAAACCTATGGGACACAGTGAAAGCAGTCTTGAGAGGGAAGATCATAGCTCTACAAGCCTACTGCAAGAAACAAGAAACAATGAGAATAAATTACCTAACCCTACAACTCAAAGAGTTAGAAAGAGAGCAACAAGAAAAGCCCAGTATAAGCATAAGGAAGGAAATAATAAAGATCAGAGCAGAGATAAACGACATAGACACCAAAAAAAAAAAAACAATACAAAAGATCAACAAAACCAAGAGCTGGTTCTTTGAAAGGATAAACAAGATTGATGAACCTCTAGCCAGGCTCACCAAGAAACAAAAAGAGAGGACCCAAATAAACAAAATCAGAAATGAAAGAGGAGAAATAACAACATACCCCACAGAAATACAAAGGATTGTTAGAAAATACTATGAACAACTCTACTCCAACAAACTAGACAACCTGGAGGAAATGGACATATTCCTAGAAAAATACAACCTTCCAAAACTTAATCAGGAAGAATCTAAAAATCTCAATAGGCCAATAACTATGGAGGAAAATGAAGCAGTCATCAAAAAGCTCCCAGCAAACAAAAGCCCAGGGCCAGACGGCTTCACAGGGGAGTTTTACCAAACATTCAAGGAAGAACTAAAACTTATTCTCCTCAGACTATTCCAAAAAATTCAAGAGGAAGGAACACTTTCAAGCTTGTTCTATGAAGCCAGCATTACCGTAATACCAAAACAAAATGAAAGAGAATTACAGGCCAATATCGTTCATGAACATAGATGCCAAAATCCTCAACAAAATCCGAGCAATTTGGAATCAGTATTACATTAGAAAGATCATACACCATGACCAAGTTGGATTTATCCCAGGGATGCAAGGATGGTACAATATCCGCAAATCAATAAACGTAATACATCACATAAAAAATTGAGAGAAATAAACCACATAGTCATATCAATTGATGCAGAAAAAGCATTTGACAAAATCCAACACCCTTTCTTGATAAAATTAATGGAAAAAATATGTTCACTCCTTGGGTGAGGAAAAAAAAATACGTCCATGAAGTGGTAACAAATAGAAAAGACTTAAAACAAAAATTTGCAAAGTAGAAACATTCAAATGTTAGAGCTCTTAAGATGACTACCTAGAGGTCAAGAACTAAACACTGATCCCTATTATTAGGATTGCTAAGCCCCAGTGTATAATTTTCTACCTCTTTTAAAGGATCTTTTCCATCTGCAGAGCCATGCATGGCTCCCTCTAAATAGCATCAAATGAGAACCATGGAGAAAAGGAGTTGGTGTTGATAATTTAAGAAGGGCAGGCAGTCTCAGGATCCATTAAAACTCTATTCAAAATGTTAAACAGATTTGATAGAAAATGGAATCAAATTTGTTTTTTTAAAACGATGTATGGGGAATGGTGTTCCTTGTTTTAGGTTGTTTTAGTATGTGGTATACCTTTGACCATAAAGTGCAGTACTTAGAATAAAAGTACAGTTTCAAATAGTGGAAAATATAGAATCTCTGTTTCCATAGAATAGGTCAGATAAATGTAAATTGATTTGACAGCCCTCAAAATGTGCCTTACATCACTGCTGCAGGGAGCCTACCTCAATATTCCAGAATCATTTTGAGGTGGCCTTAGGCACACAACCCTTGTCTGTAACTGAAAGACCTACGTGGGGTTGAGGAGCAGAAAGCAATGAAGTCCTTCTCCACGTGTGCTTTGTAAACGGCATCGTCCTCCAGGTTCTCAGGTGACTGTGAAGTGCTGTCTGTCACGGCTGCTGGAGAGTCACTGACCCACAATTCCCCACGATTTTCTGTGGAGACATTAACATTGTGCAAACTGTGTGCCTCTATCAGTATGACTGTCACTATTGTCTACCTCATTCTCTTTAAATGTTTATTCTCACCAACTTCACACACACACAAACACACACTAAACCGTTGCCCCACACACATACCTTGGACTCTCTCTAGTGTCTTTGAACAACCTGCCAATTAATAGTGGCAGCATCTTACCAGCAAATAGTGATGGCATGTGCAAACTGGAAGAACCCCTTTCCTAAGAAGAGCAAAGGACTTAAAACCTTATCTGCATAACTTCAGAGCCTAGTTACCATTTTTCAGCTAGGCTATTTCAGCTTTTTCTTCCAAACAGTGCTCCAGAATGCTAAGAGGCTATTGGAAGTCAGAAAAAAGCAAAGGAAATGTTGACAGCAATCCCAAGTGCCCACATCTCCCTACTCAATTCCCTTTCAAAAATGCATGAGGTGAAAAGGGTGCTGCTACTATAGAACAGCCCCACTTTCCAATGACATTATTCTCAAGTCGGAGAATGGCAAAACACCTGTAACACATGTACAGATGTCATTAAAATGATCTTATTCCAAGGTTTAGATATTTGTGTTCAACTTTGATTTCGGGATTCTGAAGATCTCCTTCACCACTTACCTTTGATTAAATTGGATAGATATTTATTAGCTGAAAAGACAATCTCTCATGATACCAACTCCCCTTGGCATTTCCCAAGAATTCAATTCACTTTATTTGCACTGAATGGGGTCTAGGATTGTTTCCCCTAAAAGCAAAACATACATCACAATCCACTGCAAACACCTCATGCCCTTTGGAGTTTCCTTATCAGAACTCACCACCTCTGCAGGCCTGGACAATGATGACCTTCGGTTTGTCCTTGAGACTGGGGCAGTTGCGATTGTTGAATACCCGAAAGATGGTGTCATAAGGTAGCACGTCTGGGTTTTCCTTGCTGTGCTGTTTCCCACAGAGTCTATCCAGGAGGCCATGGGACATGAACACCAGGAATGTACTATCTGAGGTCCTGTGCTCTGGGCGGGCAGCAAATTCCACCAGTACTGACTCCATCTCCTGAAAAAGACCATGGAGTCTTACAGGACAAGCATTAACACCAATATGACCCCCTGGTTATGGTGAGCAGTATAAGAAACACCTGTAATGTTCCAGTCACTGTGCCTTCAGATAGTGGTTGCTCAGTGATAGGTTTCTTTTTCTTCTGACCATGGAGCTGGGGGTTCAAAGACCTGCTCCTGCTAACTTTATATGAGCTGTCCTCTGGATGTATTTAATATTTGTTTATTTTTACTTACATACTTTTTTTTCTTTCTAGCTCTGTCTTTAATCTGATTACCTAATAGGAACCTTGCATCATAACTGTATCCTACCACTTCCCTTCAACCACCCTTCCCACTGCGCTTAGAATGAAATCACACTTCTGACATATGAGTACTCCCTCCTGTCATCCTTCCTAGGCTCTCCTTACACTGGTATTTTGTATATTTCATGTGTCAGTTTCATATGTAGTTCAGACTTTTCATTGTAGTCATTCCTCTTGGAATGGATTCCATTCACATATTCCCAGACCTGTCTTGTTACTGGTCGTCATCTGTCAGGTCCTATACTGTCTCCTGTCAAGGCTTTTCCTGACCGTTCCATCAAAGCAATTACTCCCCACTCCCCAATTGGCTCTTATGTTCTCTTTTTCTTTTTTAAAATACTTTTAACTTTATTTTCACTCTTACAGAGAGTCACGAGACACATCAAATCTCTGAAATTTTCTGTTTTTCTTTTCATATGATTGCCCCCCCACCAGTAAACCTAAATCAGTTCAAACTTGGAACGTCCTGTCTCATTCACAAGCCTACCCCCAATGCCGAAAACAGGCCATGGGGCCAAGTCAGGACTCAGTATTTATATGGTGACTACATGCCTTTTAAACATTCATTACTTTAGAATTTTCTGGGAATGTTGGGTCTGAATCCCAATCACCTCACTTTGGAACCGAGAATTATGTGGGTATACATGCCAGTCACTTTCTGTCTAGTTTTATGGGATTGAGGATATTTGGAGTCCAAAGAGACAGAGATGTCATCTATCTAATAATTTCATTTTATAAACACACCTACTCACATGCAGGTGCACACACAGAGATATATGTGGCCTAAGGTGGTTAAAGCATTTGGCTATCATTATAAAGTTAGTTTGTTAGTAGCAGGGTGTGTGGAGTGGGTGAGGCGCCCTTACCTTGGCTGTGAGATTCTCTTCCACAATCACAGTGTAGCCGAGGCCCTTAAGCAACTCTGTCATCCCTGTGATGTCAAGTTCAGCCCCTTTCCTGGGCTGAAGGTGATCAAACTCTCTATTGCATATGATGAGAGCCAGGCGAGTGCGGTCTTTCCTCTCCTTTATTGGATAGATCTGCAGGAAATGGATATGCAGTGAGTTTGACTTACCTAAATCTCTTTTAAACCTTCATATACTAATCTCTGTTGCTTTGTTATAGGATCATGGATCTGCTCTCTCCCCTCTTCTGTACCAGAGACCCTGCCTTTTTCTTTGTAATGGATTGAACTGACAAAAGAAAGACATGAGAATTGAAAGTGATTTAGAACTTTCAGATTATATAAAAATAAAAATAGACTGAAAAATAAAATAATGTAACTTATTTTCTAAGAGCCCAGAAGTGGACCTAGAACATATTTGGGACACTTACTCAAGAATCTTGAAGAGTCTAGAACAATTCCTACCATAATTTTCTCCTCTCTCCTCTCCACCTAGACAAATCATTCTCAGTGCTCAAGGTTCAGATCAAATTTCATAAAAACCGGGAGACATTTTCTATTGGCTCCAGCTAAAAATAAATACATCAACAATGCTTTGCCTTTGGTAAGATCATTATTTCAATATTATTTTTAACACATCGAGATAAAATGGGTTTCAGACTTTAATTGTATTTTAAGTCATGTTTTATCTCTGGCCATTTCAACTAGTATGAAAATAATTACTAAATATTTTGATCTACAGCTACAGCTTAATTGTAATGTCTCAAATAGAACAAATAAATGAAGAGAGAGATCTGTATTTTATCATGAGCTTGAAAGAAAATTGGAATCTGTGTGAGGCAAATGAGTTCCTCCTTGATCAAAGCATCTATGAAAATGATTACCACTGTCCCCACCCCACCACTCTGCAATTAGTGTGTTAGGGAATCAAGTACTTAGTAAAAGCAATAGTTTCTCTCTCATTCTCTATTTTATGGATAGAACACAGTACCTCTCCAGCCCTTTTTTCACACACTTTCTGGAACTCTTCAGGAGGACAAAGCTTGAGGGTATCCGTCGTTTCTGCTGACTCAGGTGGCTCAGTCACTTTTGGAGGAACTGCAGGAACTATCACATGACATCACATGATGTAATTTTAATATCTGCATCTGTTACCCATGATCACCTAAGACATACTGACAGAGACGGTAAGTCATGAAAAGTTCTTTAAACACTTTTAGATGTAGGAATTTTCCATCTATCTAACCACTAAAATGAAGAAGTGTATTGTGATTGGAAAGAAGGGGGAAATTCTTGGTAGCAGATCCACCCAAAAATGTGATACTAGGTTATGATTATTAAAAGGAAAACACCTTCCTTGGTGACTTGGGTCAAAATTAGGCTTTTTATATTCAGCTAAAACAGCTTGAGTCTTGCTATTCTTTACTCTAAAGCACTCACTGATCTAGGTGGATTGTTTCTTGTCACTGAGCAAGAATATATTGAATAAATATTTAATAGAGTGCTACTCATTAGAAACATAATTAAGTCACATGTGCAATTAAATTTTTTCTAATGTTCACATTAAAAAGGAAAAACAAACAGATGAAATTAATTTTAATAATATTTTATTTGACATACTATATTCAAACTATTATCACTTTAACATGTGTTACTAGCCACATTTCAAGCACTTTATAGTCACAATGTGGCTGGTAGCTATCATATTGGACTAGAGGCCCGGTGCACAAATTTGTGCATGGGTGGCATCAGGCCTGCCTGCCATTATCAAAGCCAATTAGGCTGGCCAGCCAGGGGAAGATGGGCCGTGTGTGTTTGGTGGGCTGGCCCCGACTCCTCCTTGTGGAACTCTGAGTTGAACAATTTGCATATTAGCCTTTTATTATATAGGATGGTATAACATCCCAATTCTGCTCCTAATTTATATAGAACACAGACACAGACACACACTAAGCACCTAAAAGAATCCTCAATCCTGTACCATACAAGCATTATTTTTTTCAGGGACCTCAGCCTGAATTCTCAACTTGGCCAGAGGAGATGGGCTTCTAGGATTCCTTGAAAAGCTGTGGAGTCAGCTATGTCCAGGAGAAATGCTACTAGCCACCAGAGTACTGATTCCAGGGACAGGGGGACAACATTTTGCTTGGAGATTCTAACATACACTGGATGTCCTTGCCTCCAAAGTTCTGATTAACCAGCACTACATTTTCAACCCATGTTTTAAAATGTGAGGGAATAACTCCTCCCTTTTGAAGAAGTTTGTTTCTGACTCATCCTGACCCAGTCCTGACAGAAACTTAACTGTATCCGTCACAGCTTGGCATCACTTGACAAATTTTGCAAGAGACTGGGAAAGTCCAGCACCCCTCCTTTCAGAGGAAGGAGTAAGAATTCATAAACAATAGAAGAGAGATTTGCCAAGATCTAATTAACAAGGTTTTTGTCCAAAAAGTTACCTTGATGGTTAGTTACATGAACCAATCAAGGCACTCCCTGATTTTCTTTTATTTAAAGAAAAAGAAATATCCTGTATAAATGTTTAGTTTTATTTTTTATATTTTTTCTATTTTACTCATTTATTTCCATTAGTTTTTTCATAATCTTTTATAAACGTCTTTTTAAAATATGTGCTAAACACCGAGCTCTGGAGATGCAGCAAATTGTTATTCTCTAAGGAAACCAAGCTTTCTAAATATTATAGATTAAACAGAGACAGGCTCTCCCTTCTCATTCCAGAAGATTCTGGCAATGTAAAGACTCCCAGGGTCTTGGGATATTCCCTCATTAGAGGGGATATTTCTCAGCAAAAACCTCCTCTGTTTCCAGGTTATTTGCAAGTTTGCTGAGCACTCTAACTTAAGAAACATCATCTCCTAATGACCATTGTGTGTCTATGTATAAATATACTGTTTGCAGTTAAGATTGGGAATTAATATTTCTATGTTGCATCTATAGTACAAATTAGCATGAAAACAAATCCTCTCATTACAATCTATACTAATAATAGAAGAATATGCAAATTGGCCAGCATGTCATCATGTAACGACCAATCAGAATGGGTGCAGGGCCACGGCGGAGAGCTCTCAGCATGCCCTACACTGGGGTTCCAAAGGGTGCAGAGGAAGGGAGAGCAGATAGGCAGTTAGGGGGGTCAGGCCAGGAGGGGAGTGCAGATAGGCAATTAGGGGAATCAGGCAAGGAGGGGAGAGCAGATAGGCAATTAGGGGGATCAGGCCAGCAGAGGGGAGCAGTTAGGCAGTTATGGGGATCAGGCCAGGAGGGGAGAGCAGATAGGCAGTTAGCGGGGATAAAGCTGGCAGAGGATAGCAGTTACGAAGTTAGGGGGATCAGGCCAGGAGGGGAGAGCAGGTTGGCAGTTAGAGAAATCAGGCCAGGAGAGGAGCACAGATAGGTAGTTAGGGGGATTAGGCCAGCATGGTAGGGCAGTTAGGGAGATCAGGCCAGCAGA